ATCCACAAAGCTGACAGGGTGGTGTGGAGTGGAGGGAGGGAAACCCAGAGAACCCAGGTCACAGAAGCCATGGAAAGGGCATGCTCTTGGAAGGAAGACTTCTCTGCAGGATGGCTTGAGACTGGTTTCTGTGACACAGGTCCCCTGACCAGGGCATCTAATTAGTAAACCTTTAGGTTTTATTTCAACAGACAATTGTGGTCAGAGAGTTATACCAAGGAGAGATTCTTCCGGAAAATAGAACTAGGGTTCCATTGGACAATGGGTCTTTTGGCAACGTGGTGCAGATTGGAATGATACTGCCCAAAAGGCCGGCATGCAGGAAGGGGAGGAAAGAAGGCAATGATTCTGAATGCATGGGGGGTGTGCTGTCTGTCATGAGTGTGTAGCGGATGCGTTGAAGTAAGAGCTGCTGTCTTTATTTTAAAGTTACTAGCCTCAAAGTTCCAAACTTCCCACGTCCTGTGTTTGCTGTGCTTGGCAGAGAAGCTAGAATGGAGGAGGAGAAATAGACTTGAAATTGGTGAAGGGGGTCAGAATAAATGATAAAGAAAGGCCATTAAGGCTCGATGCTCAAAAGTTGTTCACAATTAGCAGAACCCTGGCAGGCACAAGTGATTTTCCATATATCTGTTGTCACTGAAAATGCTCATTGAATTAATTTGGAAATTATATTTCTGATGTAATTTCTGGGGTTCATGTCATTATGGATTCAAGATGCTAAAGAATGCACAAATACTTTATGAGTCATATTCGTTCAGGAATGATGTGGCTTGAGACAACATCTTTTTTACTTCTTACAGGACTGTATATATTTGGAAGCAGCCAGAAATTTCTGGCTGAGTTACAGAATTTATGAGATTTAGATCTATACTTGCAAACAGATGAACATTTAACACAGCACTGGAATAAAATGAGATACACTGCTCTTTGCCCAGTGGAGATGATTCTGACCAGCAGAAGTCACACTTAAGATGCAGCAGGAAATACAGGGTGCCTCCTTGCTGAAATGCCATTCCGGGTATCAAGAAATAAACTCTTTTAAAAAGAAAACCAACCCAATTGAAGGTAGTAAGAGAATATTGCTTCAGAAAGTGAATCTCCATATGTCATCTATGACTCAGTTTTCCCCCATGCCTATATTTTACCATTTAATACCTTCATTTATCTGTCCATTCACTCAGCAAATATGTACATGTAACAAACACTGATGTGATGGTGACCAAAACAGAAATATCATCTACCCTCAAAGAGTTCACAGTCCAAAAAGGAAAAAAAAAAAAGGAATAAACAATTCCAATTCCAATGCAACATGTTAAAGTAACACAGCAAGTCAGCACACGTACCATGGAATTCTGAACCACACTTGAGCAAAGTCTAGCCTGAGAACTGAAGGGCCTGCAGGGAAATATGGGAAAGAGTTTTTTTTTTTTTCCTTACTTTATTTACCTCTCCTGCCATCCCTACCTTTCCCTTAAATGTTGAGCCACTTCGCCTTTAAAACTACAATCTAAATCTGTTCAAAATTCTCACAGGCTAACATTTCATAAAAATAACTACACTAAATATTGAAGATGAAGGAGGAGAGAGTACAGAAGATATAAAAAGCACAAAGACAGTGAAGTTCTCAAAATGTAGGGTGTTGATCCTTAAGACAATTATATACTGGGTCCAAAGAAAGTAGTGCAAATTGGCTTGAACCCAGCCTAGCATTCTGTTCGCCTAGATCCACATTTCTTGGAAATAGGGATGTTTATTTTTATGACAGGAAAACAGATTTCTAGCTAATTGTCCATTTCCAAGGAAAACTGGAAAAACATCTTACCTATCATAAGTATCTCTCATGTTTATTTCTCATACTTGGCAAATGACAGCATTTTACACATCTAATTGGCTATATTAAAGTATACAACAGATGAATTATTTCATGCCCACTCCACAAACGGTTAACTTTTTCACTGACACTGCTTGCAAAATACGCTTCCTTAACTCTGGAATATATGCACAGAGATACAATAAGAGGGGAAACTAATACTCAAGCAAATTTTCGACCTTTAGCAATGAACATATGCAAAGACATGGGTTCAGCTACAACCTCAAATCACTGCCCAGTTAACCTGAGAGGAGTATGAAAACAGTTGCTTAAAGGTTACTGAATTACTCTCTTTAAGGGACTTAAGTCTGTATGAGTCTATTTCTAGAAAATATGGACCTAGCTTTTCTTCTGACTCTTCTCTTCCTGTCTCTTCCCTTTGTGTTACTTTTTTAAAAAGTTGTCTGTTTTTTCCATGCTTTCTCTTATCCTTCTCTTCCCTTCTCTACCTTTGAGGTGACAAGACACAGCAGGACCTATGAGGACGTAGCTGAGGAGGTATCAGAATCAAGGAGGGTGGCTGGGGCTGGTGGAACCAGGGTCGAGGATGCTGCCAGATTGCCAGAGCCTATGGAGCAGAATAAATAGATAGTTATGACCAAGGCCCGTGGGGCCATTGGGGATGGGACCAGGAGCGAGGAGCCAAATGGGGCCAATGGTGGCCAAATAGAAGCTTCCAACTATAATCCTCCCAACAGGAATGCCAAGTGGAACAACTATGTACACAAAAAAATGCACCTTCATAAGAACCAAAAATCAGGTGAATGATCACAATACCTGGTTTTACCATTGTGTTAAGGCACTCAGGCTGAGGAATGCTTGGCAGAATTGACATGATAGTTACTTACACAGTGAATGATCAAGCACAAGTTGAGCATAATGGGTGTCAAGTTTCCCACTTTTAGAGAAAAACATTGCCTATATAGAAAGGGTGTAGGCTAGAGGAAACCCTGTGGTGTTGAGTTAGATTTAGAGATACTAATGTGAGCTCATGTTTGATGGATAGATGGATAGATAAATAAGAGAGATAGAAAGAGAGATGATAGGGAAATTGATACACGTGCTACATTGTGTGTGTGTGTGTGTGTGTGTGTGTGTGTGTGTGTGTGTGTGTGTGATTGACAGCTCTGTCCACTGTGAGGGCCTAGAAACGATACCACTCAGGGAGATGTGAGTACACCCAGTGCCCAGATCTTGGTTTCTAAAAGCCAGTCTTCAGACTAACTCAAAGACTAGGACAGAAGAAATACAAGATGAGATGAATCTGGAGTATCTTGTGACAGAAAGTGAGGAAATGCTCAAATAATGAGGGAGACTTGTCAAAAGGATATATGTGCTAACATCTAAGGGCTCCAATGGCTTAATCTGGGATAATGTAAGCATCAAAATAAATAATGATGTTAATGTATTACATTACTCGGAAGAAAATAGTTACCCATAAGTTTATACTCACATAAATAAACAAATGAATAAACAGATAAATTTAGATGACAGGGGCTTTTCTTACAGTAGAATGCTGTCTGATAAATGTAGATCAATAAGGAATTTAGAAAATCACCACTGAGTAAACATCATTGCTTGTTTCAGGCAAAAATCATCAATGAATGCTAAATCTAGTGTGTGAAGATTTAAAGAGTAATCGAACACTTACTTATATAGTTTCAAAATATTCCATGTATGGGAAGATTAGCAATTTTATAATAGAGCAACCTAGCAGACATTACCTTCATCAACTAATCCAAATTGTGTTTCTCCTGATAGGATGCACTGTGAGGAATTCCTATTAAAAATCCATCATCTGAATGTAAATGAGGAAACAGGCAAACTTTAATTCTAGAAACGAGGAAAAATCAGGCAAACTTTAGAAAATAACTGGCCTGTACTCATCAAAAGTACCAATGCCACAAAAAAGCAAGAAGAGGCAGCTAATGCCCCTCAGTGAAAACGAAAGAGATATGACAACAAAATGCAGCCCATGATCTTGGATTGAATACTGGGCTGGAAAAAAAAATTTTTTTTAAGTCTGTGTTTTCAATAAAAAAGGGCATTCTTGAGACAATTGGTGAATGAGAGGGATTTAAGGATTAGGTGGTAGGATTTTATTAATGTTATGAATGTTAAATTTCATTGAGTGTATGGTGTTATGTCTACAAATTATATTCAAATATTTTGGGGGAATATGTATATGTGTATACACACACACACACACACACACACACACACACACACACACACACAAAATAATACATGTAGTTAAATATTAACAGCTGGAGAAACCGATAGTCCTTTACTCATTTTTACTATTCTTTACTTTTCTTTTCTTTTTCTTTTTCTGAGACAGAGTTTTGCTCTTTTGCCCCAGCTGGAGTGAAGTGGTGTGATCTTGGCTCACTGCAACCTCCGCCTCCTGGGTTCAAATCATTCTCCTCCCTCAGCCTCTCAAGTTGCTGGGATTATAGGCGCCCAACACCACTCACAGCTAATTGTTGTATTTTTAATACAGACAGGGTTTCACCATGTTGGCTAGGCTGATCTTGATCAGGCCTCTTTACCTCAGGTGATCCTCCTGCCTCCCTTTAGCGTCCCAAAGCACTAGGAATACAGGCATGAGCCACCACCCCTGGCATCTTTTTAGTATGCTTATAACATGTCTTTATAAAAGTTAAAAACATTTCAAAATAAATAGCAAGTAACCATATAATATTTGTAAATGCAATAAAAGAAAAATATCTTAACAGAATTAAGATTTTAAAATTTAAAAAATTGAACATAAAAAATTAATGAAAATTTGGAACTAAGAGGTCAACAGCATTATCGATAGTTTAATGATCCTTCATACTTTTTAAGTACTATACTGTTCTGAAGGTAAAATTATATTTCATCTTATTTTTCCTTTCAGTGTGTTTGGACTATTGCCTAAATTTGAAAAAAAAATAATAACAAAATACAACTAATACCAAAAAATTTCAAAAATTACTCTCTGAAAAATTCTAGAAAAAAAATTGTCCTTTGCTTTATTTTTTCAAACTTAGATGATGTAATTCAGAATGAGAAACACTAAGTTTTGTTCTCAAAGGAAGTAACAATATAAGTGAATCTGCTTGCTCTCTCTTTCTCTCTTGGCTAGGTTTCATATGTCAAAGCTATTGATATTTGGATGGCAGTTTGCCTCCTTTTTGTGTTTTCAGCACTTCTGGAGTATGCAGCTGTAAATTTCGTATCAAGACAACACAAAGAACTTCTGAGATTTCGACGAAAGAGAAAGAATAAGGTAAGTGAATGAATGTATTGGGTTTGGCAGGATCCAATTTTCACTGGAAAGTGAATTTGTTGTATTTAATCAAGATGAAAAGAGAGGCAATTGGGACTGGGGATGAAATGATATAATATTTCTTTCATTTTTTCCAATCCAAACTGAAAGGGTCAAAAATAGCTTCAGGGAGAGCATGATGACACCTAGCTCTACTTTAGACAGCAAATCTGATGACATGAGACCTATATCAACTTCTTTTTAATGTACTTCCTGGATGGACACTTTTTTATTTTAATTAATGAAATATATTATTTCTTACTTGCAATGTTAGAGCATTTCTAATGGTTTCACTTCATATAAGTTGTCAAATGTAATTATTAAAGTGTCTTTGTCAGAGGTAATTTATTTTAATCAAATATTACTTATTTACTAATACCATAATGACAAATACATGCAAAACTATGTGGTCTCTTTTTGATACATATTTTCATGAGCTAAAAACGTTTCCTTTGAAACCCCATGGAAACACAATGAAGTGCTATTGTTATGTGGCTGTTATCTGATAAATAACGAAACCAGGAGAAAACTTAGAACATCATGAAGAGACCATAGTAAGTTGCAGTAACAAACTCCTAATTGAATTTTGATGCCCTAAATGAAGTTTTTCCTCCATGCAGAACTGTAATGGCATCTCCCTTGACATGCACGTGGTTTTGACCAATCCCCTTTCTTTCTATATAAGAGAGAGCCTCTATCGACAGTGGATCTACACATTTACTTCTAATGTGAATGTGCCAGCTGATATTTTGAAAGTAAATGGACTTTTAAAGCAATGGAGAATAATGTCAAAGTTTTGTGTAATTGCGGCAAGGATCCAATATCCTGGTATATTTCAGTCAAAAGATACACCTTAATGATAATAGTTGAGTTTATCTAGTGTGCATTTTTTAGTATTTTAAAAGTTGCAATTTTTAAAGGATTCTTTGTGGTTTATAAATTATGCTGCAATTTATATATTTATTAAACTTCTTTAAAAAGCACTAAGCTTTGACCTCTCAGTGCTTGAGTCTATTTAGTATTAAACATATTCTAAAGCAGTAACTTACTTATCATTTCTAATTGGCCCTCCAAAAGGCATCACTGCTCCAATAAACACACAATTAATAGCAGCATGGAAAGAACATCAGCATTCAGCATTGGGAGAGTCAGTAATATATAAACAAAAAAAACAGTGCTAAGACTTGCATTTAATTAAATTTTATGAAAACCGAAGCACATCTTTTGTACACTGAAACATATTGTGATGGGGAGATTAACTTTATCTTCTTCCCTCACCTCGCCCTGGTCTACTGGTCTGTTACATTTTCTCATATCTCCTCAGTCTCTCTTTATCTCTTTTTCTTCCTCTTCTCTCTCCCTCTCTACCTCCTACTTGCTCCTCTTTTCTTTCATGATACCCGGCACTGGTGGAACAACAATGACAGTACAAATCCTTATCAAAGGGGTGGTGCTCTGGTCTTTCTTTTTTATCAGTGACTGATAAAGACCACTTTCTCCCTTCTAGTATCAATAATTAGAAGTAAAGCAATACTCATGTTCCCTATCATTATGATTAGCTTTTTGTCATTTTGATTTTCCCTTTCTTTACGTTTTTTCTTCTCCTTATACAATTCTGAATGTATCAAGCATGTACTCTAAATACGAGAAGTATTGTACATCGGTGGCCAAATGAGGAAAGTGAGAAGGCTCAGACATACCTACATCCACCACACATCCAATAAACACAATATCTTGTAGAAAAAGTATTAGACAACACGTCTAGATGCTCAATTCTGGGTCCTTCTTTTAAAAAATTATTTTTACCTAAGTGCCTCTTCACTCAGTTTTAGCACACGTAAAAGTAAAATAAAACCATTTGATGTTCCTTCCTCTTCAGCGCAAAGAAAGATGGAAATATTCATTTTCTCTAGTGATTGGTACTCTGGGAAAATGGGAAAATGCAAAAATGCAAAAATAGTCATAGCTTATTATTTTCTGATAACTACTTGATGTATTCAGGGATCAAATGTAATTAAAAGTAATTATGATTTAATGAAGAAAAAAGAGTTTTTTTTAAGTTCAATTTATACATTGAGGCAGATACTTTGCATATGTGAAAATCTATTAATTGCTACATATGTCTGTTCAAATGATATATGCGATTACAACCAATTGTGTATTTATATTTATCATATATGAATTGATTCTCTGGTTTCTCAATCCTTCTTGGTCCACTTTACCTTCCCACAGACAGAAGCTTTTGCACTGGAGAAGTTTTACCGTTTCTCAGATATGGTAAATTGACTTTCTTAACTCTAAATGGAGGAATGTGCTCATCAGTAAAAAGCAGACGGCATATTCTGCACTACCAAGGCAGTGTTTGGTGGGGAAACACAGCCCCTTCTGTTTTGAAAACTGAGCAAACACCTTCCCCCTTTAGCTAAGTAGGGTATTTTCTTTTTCTAAAAACTTTATTCTTGTCTTCTCTCACCTAGTACAAAGATATTTAAATATTATCCTTCGTTTTATTAATAGAGCTATTTGATTGGTCAAAATGGTTTAAAAATATATGTTAAAAAGAAATATCACATATATCTTTTAATAATCATCATAAAAGAAACACTTGTATACTTGTACAAAATTAGTTGAAAATAAATGGAAATTTTATTTATACAAATTCCAAAAGCAGCTGCACAAGAGACCTCAAAATAAGGCAACAAAATGATTTATGCCTTCCGTGTATCTTTAGAATCAATTCTAAACATTAAAATATGTTTAGATTACTTATGGCAAGTGAACGATTTAGTTTTAATAGCAGCATCCTTTGAAATTTTCTAATAAAAAGAGATCACAAAGATACATGTCCAAGTATAATGATTAAATATTATGAAAGCAATCTAAAATAGATCATGTTGGTCTATACGTGGTTTGACTTGGGGCCCATAATATAAGATGCAATAATTAAATAGAAATCCACTGAAGCCAGGAACTTAGCCTGGGAAATCACATACAAATAGTTCTGTCTATTGAACTAAATTTCTGGGTTAAACCACGTATAAAAGTAGCTCCTCAGATGATTCTACTGTACACTGCAGGTAAGAATCCCTGCAGGAGACATGTTAAACAACTCTTGCAGTAATCTCAACCTCATAACAGATTATCTAGACCTGGTATTATTTTAAAGTACTTGGTATGTTATCTTATAATATATAATCGCTCAGCTATTTTTCTTTGCTGCTAAAATTACATCTTATTTCCCAGCATCCCACTTCTCTCTTTGTTTTTCATCCCTGAAAAATAATTTCACCTGATCTACCTTCTTTTACTCAATTATCTTAATTGTAAATTTTTCATTGCATGAAATTTACATAATCAGATATAGTATTTGCAATATATATTTATAGAGACACGTAGGTATTAGACTATATGGCAGACTATAGTATTTATTTGAAAGACCAACATAATTATATCTCAAGAAGCTAAACCGTTAATGTTTATAGAAACCATAGAATGAAAGATATTTAATTAAATATTACTTAATGAAAACTCTAATGTAAAAACAGGCTTACCTCATGGACAGTCAATACATTCTTAGAGAAGAAACAATGTGATAACGCAAATATATTCATAACAAAGTATATACATCCCATTTGTTTTTAAAATATTTTAAGCATTGGGCAAATTTGGGGGTGGTTGGCTTTTTGAAAACTATTTCCCCAAACTAATAATGCTCTGGGCTAATCAAATTTGTCATTTAAAACTATTCATTTGCTTAGAAACAGTCTGAGCAATCTATTTTTGAAATAAACATATTCAAAATCAGTGTTAATGTTGGTACTATGCCTTTTATTGACGTGAGTACTGGTTTACCTGAATTGTCTTCAGTACTTTAATTTGGCAGAATAGGCAAAGTAAATAAAATAGTCTCACTGTAGAAAGTTTGTCACAACAGGGGTCCTTACATTAACGGAAATATGATTCCTAGGAAAGTTTTAACTAGGCTCAGCATTGGCTTAGGCATTGCAAACAGTCTTTTAAACTTACTTTTTCCTCTGTGAAGGTACCAGAGAACATAGCATCCATTGTGAAGAAAGACAACTTTGCTCTTGTATCCCAGTTTCCCCACCCCACACTGCCCCAGCCTGCTGTGTGCTGATTACGCACTGCACCATGTCATGGATGCTATCTCTAGTGCTATGTGTGTGTGCGTGTGTGTTTCTGTATGCATGATATGGGGAGTATTTTGGTTAGAGTCGCTATTCCCATGTATGATAGCATTACTTTAGTCCTGGAGCCTTAAAAAGACATACCAAGGTATTTCCAAACATGTTATTTGTTGAGTGATGTGGATGAAATGGGATTGCTTTAGTGCATTTCATGTAGCTTCCTCCACAATGCAATGTAATAGTGTAATGGTTTGCTGCAAGAAAACATATGCACCAGCATTCTAGTGCCTGTTTCCCTACTGATTATTATTTATTATTATTTATATATGCAAATGAAATAGGAATGGACCATTAGTTCTAGATGTAAGAAATCTTGACCAAGTTTATGTTTTGCTAGGCACAATGATTATATTTTGAAAAATAAAGATATTGTTGACTGCATTTTGACCATCTGTATACAAACTTTATTTTATTTACTTATGTTTTTATATTCTGTCTTACTTTAAAAATATTCAAGATAGCTTCTAAGAATATTAAATAATTGATTTTCTGTCCTGTGGAGTTGTCAAGTCTAAAGTCTAAGGATAAACGCAAACATACATATATACTATTTTGATGAAAATGAGGAGGAATCATGGTTGAAAGCAATATGGCATCCATATACACTAATTATTCAATAATCTTTCCATTCCAGGTCAGCTTATGCTATTCCAGAGCTAAGATGTTCTTTAAATAGACAAAATAGTTCCTACAATTGTCTTTCATACATAAGAAAAGTTATTTCCCAATAACTTAGATTCAAAAAAAATTCTATTTGAATGACTCTAGTATCAGGAGTTGAAATTGCATCCTCTCAAGATAAAAATTGTAAGACTTTAATTATTCCCTATGAATAAATATTTATATATTCAGTTTATGTTAAACGTAACTATTTCTTATAGCTATATTCTCCCTGAAAATCTGTTCAGGACAATAATATTTGATAAGGTGATAATATTTTTGTTTAATCAAAATTTACATGCATTTTGGTGACTTCCATTTCAGTGTTAACTAAAATGGAAATGCTGTTTTTTAACATATAATATCTATTGCTATACCCTATGACACTCCATAATTATGAGTTGGCAATAAATGAATCTAACATATTATGCTAGAAATAGATACATAGATTTTTAAATAAATCATTCCATTGATTTCTTATCTGTCCTCTATAATATTTCACTAAAACGTTTATCTTTTTGAATTTACATTTTAACATTTATTAATCTCCAAACCATTTCTGAATCTAAGCTTAATATGCCAAGTATATTCTTGGCTAATTAATAGCTAATTCAAATGTCATCTATAATAAATGCAAGGTTCTCCTGGAGTGAAATTTCAAACAATTTCATATTAACAATTTACTTGCAATAACAAAGTATGTTTTAATCTCATCTATAATTGCACTATTTTAGACCTTCCATTTATAAATGATTTTAAAATGTGTGTAGATGTATGAAATGGAATATTTTATTTTAGACTGATATTTTAGAAAAACAATTTTAATTCATTCACATTTTTCATCTGCTCCTGTTATTCTCAAAGGGCAATGATTTTTCCCAACAAAACAAGTCATTTCTGTGTTTATTAGTAATGTAAAATAATCCACACATTTTGAAACCATATAAATAGAAATTAGTAATAATTCAATTTTCCTTCCTTTGTCACATTCCCATTTGGTAATAAAGTTACAGAAAATTATTTAATAAAAAGACATTTGGAATAATCTGTTTAATTCTTTAATTGCATAAACATTGTCCCGACGGTACCTACCGAGGGAGAAACATTAAGATGGAAATAATGTCTAAGATGGAAATAATGTCTTTTAATGCTTTATATTTTACAGCAATTCACATAATCAATACTTCATGCTATTCTAGATGCTGAATGTTTTATTCACACTCAGTGACAATCTTTATGCCTTTCTCACTCTCACATCCACTTGTTTTTTTTTTTTCTGTTCATTTTTGAGGACTAAGAAGAAGATATAAAATGAGCCCTTGTGTCACACATGTGTTAATATGCAGTATTGTGTTTGATGACACAGATGAAATAATTCTATTCGATGACAATATGCAACCTCCTATTTTCTAATATTTCTAGTTCCAGTTTGCATTTTATATGAATCAGTGTTTGGCATAATAATTAAAATAAAATGAAAAGAGACATGCAATGTTTCACAGTATGGTATTGAAGCTTAATGACTGAAATATTTTTATTGGCAGTTTTACATTTACAAAAAAAGGATCTTCCTGTAAAAAGAATTGTGCTACAGGCAAATGTCTATCTCCATTTTTCATTGCCTACCATTCTAACTTGCCTGAAGCATAGTAAGAAGGTTTACTTGTGGGTAAACTGAACTATTTATTTAATTTCACTTTTTAGTCAGCGGTTTTGCCCACTTTTTAGTTCATTCTATCTAATCTTTATTATTACCTATATTTTATGTTGTCAAGGGCCTTAAATATTGGCTAACACGTAATGCCTCTGAATCAAAAGTTCTAGATAAATTTTTTTTATTCCTTGCTTTTTTTTTTTTTACGAGTAATCCATTAGAATTTAAACTGAAGCTATTTCCAGAAAATTAAATTATCTCAAAAAAGTATTTGAGTGCTAATTACAATAAGGAATATCACTGCACATGTAAGCATACATAAACACAGGATAATTTATGACTGTGCAATGCAAAGTAGAGAAATAAGTAATAAAATAATTCAATGCTTCTTCTAATTTAGTAATCTAATAATAATAATAAGCTGATAGAAAAGCTTTATCTGCACTTAAAATTATTGTTTAGGTGCAACCTTTCAAAAAAAGTCCCAGGAAGCCAGTCATTAAAAAAAAAAAAAAATCACTGGATATTTTTAAGGTCCAGGGGCTCATGGTCTCTGTCATCGCTGTCTTACTACATGCGCAGACAGACCCTGTACAGGAGTCTGGTCCTTTCCTTCCCACAGAGCTGAATTTCTGTTTCTGAAAGGGCCCTAGTATGACTCCACAATGCCTCATCTCATGGGAATACTTAAAATGATTTGTGCTGTTTCATGGAACACATTTAAAACACAAAGACTCTTTGGTTGCATAAATTAG